TCATGACAAAAAAAAACCAGGGTATACTCATATGCTGCTACTGGATCTGAGCGAGCTCAGAAAGGCGAAATAAGTAGCCGCAATTTCTAGACCATAGAACTGGCTTGTTACTGGACTCCATCAGGCTCAGCCGAATCCTTTGGGTCTAGCTGATCTTGGTACTTTTATAAGAATCGTGTAAATCTTCTTGTTGGGTGATATTGAATAAAGTTATGAAACATTTCTCTCACAGTCTCAGTGTCTCAAGCTCACATCTTTCAGTGAAATGAGCTTAAGATTTCTATTTGAGCGAGCTCCTAATGTAAGGTCAATAGCGGAATTACCGTATGGACAGAAATCTCTCAGATGCCTCCCGTTGTCCCACAAGCCTGAACCGGCTCCTGAGCCCCGTCCTCTGTCACCGAGCCCACTGCTCAGCTCACGTCACGACGCCAGCTCCGCCAACAAGCGCACTGTGAGCCCGTCACACCGGGGGCGTCACAGCCGGTAACGAGCGCTGACCTGTGGCGGCACCGGTGGCCGCCGCCGCGCTGGAGAAATGTGTGATGCGACAACAGGCGGCTGGCGGCCGGACCGGTCCCGGGGTCCGGTCTGCGCCGGTGGCCGCCGCCGCGCCGGGGCAATGTGTGATGCGACTCCAGGCGGCTGGCGGCCGGACCGGTCCCGGGGTCCGGTCTGCGCCGGTGGTCGCCGCCGCGTCGGGGTAATGTGTGATGCGACTCCAGACGGATGACGGCCGGACCGGTCCCGGGGTCCGGTCCGCGCCGGTGACCACCGCCGCGCCGGGGTAATGTGTGGTGGTCCCCGGGTCCGGTCTGCGCCGGTGGTCGCCGCCGCGTCGGGGTAATGTGTGATGCGACCCCAGACGGATGACGGCCGGACCGGTCCCGGGGTCCGGTCCTCGCCGGTGGCCGCCGCCGCGGCATACCTCCGCCCAGCGCGGCATGCCAGCACCCCGGAACCGGCGCGCGGCACGCCGCATCAGATAAGCGGCGGGAGTGACCGACAGGACGGCGGCGCCGGGCAGAGCACGCGTCACGGCGACGGGGACCGGCTGCCGCTGGGTGGCGCGGCCCAGAGGCGCAGAGGCGCTGGCGCCGCGGTTGCTGGTGGACCGCCGCCGGACAGAATGGATCAGCTGCCCCATCCTTTGACCGTTTTGAGTTTTCTCCTGGCATGCCGTGCATGGATAATTAAAGCGACAGGGATGTGGAATTTTAGTTAGAAATTGCCTTATCAGATGTCATTTGTTGTATACCAATTCGTAATGTATGACGGAGATGACGTCAGATAAGACCCGGTACCTCATCACTACAACAAAGCGCTGCGTGGTCGGCTGCAGCACTGGGCCAACGACATGCTTCTGCACAAGTGGTCTTAACTGAAGGTTGAATGACAGCAAAAAAGCGTCTGTTTAATTTACATCCGAGCCCAGACCGGGCCGCCCATGAGACTAACTCTCGGGGAGGCTTAGACTGCCGTCCTGGTTGTGCAGCGAGAAGAGATCTGTGCTTACATGCGTGGACTGGTAAGCTGCCGAGTTTTCAGGGCCGGTCCGTATGTGCCACTGTTTCCAGGACAGCAGGAGGGACGTCCGACATCGCCACGACTCGGGTCGCGCAGTGCTGCCTGGTTGACACCGCCAGGGGAGTGCCGCGATCGCGGCGCCATTCTGGGTCACTCAGCACGCGACACATAAAGGACATAAGCACTTCATAACGCTGCATGGAATGATAAGCTGAAACGCTCGCTTTTTTATTGTCGTCGCTGCTTTTACTTTTCATTGCCACATCGTGTTTCCTATGATTTTTACACCGCCGCGAGCGCGGCGTTCGCACCGCTGCCGGTTCGGCACGATGTCTGCCGCCAGCGCTGCTCCACTACCTTCTCCCCGCCCTTCGGCCTCGTCCGCTGCCCCCCAGGTTCAGGCCGTCCAAACAGGCCAATTATCTCGTGCTGGTATCGGGGCCAGCCACTGCAGTCGGCGGCGATTGTCTCGTTTTGCCGGGCGCGTAGCCGTCGGGGCGAGACGGAGGGGCGCTCTGGGGAGGTCCCCGGCCGTCTCCGGAGGACGCCCCACCTCCTCCCCCAGAGGGGGAGGATCGAGCCTGATAGGGGGTCGCCTGCAACTGCCGGTCGTTACTAGCTCGTGTAATCACAGTGTTTCTGACGTCACGTGTAATCAGGGTCTGATTTATCAGCGCAGCGGTACCCAGTCTCATGTCCGAATTATCCCCTTTCTGAGCACCACCCGAGAATATTTTTTGTTTACTTAATCAGCAGTGGCGCCAGCTGAGGCATGTTGGGGCATGTGTAATTGCCTAATCACTTAATTCTAGTGTGAAACCAGTTGTCTTGCCAACAAGGCACACGGTCATGCGTAGATCACTGTCTCCGCCCAAAAGTTTAAAAGCGGAAAATGACACCATAGTTGTGGGTTATTTGCTTTTGTCGTGGGTGGCTCGTGATAACATGCATTTACCAATGCCACACACAGATAAAATCGAAAACAGTGATTTGCTGTGACCAGCATCAGCATAGAAACTTTCGTAGTTGCCAACTCAGTTATTGTCAAACGGGGACCTCTCAGACGCTAGAAATTTGCCCCATTTGTATCAAGGCCAGTAACCGGGTCCGAACACATTCTTTCACGAGAACGGAACTAAGACTGCCATGAATCTATGCTTGATTCGTTTGGCATATCTGTCCGCTGGCGGTCTATTTCTTATGAGGTGGAGGAAATTTGCGCCAAGCTTTGACAATTCTTCTGCTCGGTCCTGCCGGAGATAAGCTTTTTGTTGCATAGTTATGTTTTATTTGTGGTATTGCACTGCATGCATAAATCTGTTTGGCATTTCAAACTGCACATATACGATCTACTGCTTTCAATGGCCGAAACTTACTTTGTTTGAAACGCTTGCTTAGAAGGTGGACATGTTAGCCAGTACACCGCAACCTGCCCGACCGAACAGCAGTCTTCTGCGTTACGTTCATTTGCTCGGCGGCTAGTCCCGGCTGTGAAAATTCTCTGGATCTTAATTGCTTAAGTTTCCCACGCATAAGCCTGGCAGTGAGGTGATCATATCATGTCGGTAAATGCCATCTTGAAAAAACTTCTCCATAAAGAATCACCAACGGCATAGGCGACAGCGCACCTCCCACGTAAAGATGTAACCAAAATGATAATCCTTACCTTCAAAACATGGTTTGATAACATTGTTCAGCGAATTTGGCATCTCCTTTAACCTTGAAATACGTTTCATCAGACCTATATCTCTTCGCTTCGTATTTGACGAAAGTCCGGGAATAGACCTTGTAATACCAACTAACCCGACGACATACAGTAAATAAATAACTGAATATGACTGCAACTCCTCTCAAATTCAGGAACGCGATCAAATCTGGAAGAGATGATGCAGACTTGAAATAAGGGTAATATTTTGTGATCCCAATAAAACCGTGTGATTAACTGCCTCATGTCCAACTACCGAAATCCTTGGCACCGTTGACTCTGACTGCCACAACCGCCGGAGCCGGCGGGTAGTGACTCCTTTCTCCAGGACCCCGGCCCCGCCGACCCTCCGCTGAGGACCAGCCGCTGTCCGGGTCGTTCCAGCGCCAGCCCCAGCCCCGCCGACCTTCCGCTGAGGACCAGCCGCCGTCCGGGTCGTTCCAGCGCCAGCCCCGGCCCTGCCGACCCTCCGCTGAGGACCAGCCGCCGTCCCGTTTCGTCCCAGCGCCAGCCCCGGCCCTGCCGACCCTCCGCTGAGGAGCAGCGGCCGTCCGGTGTCGTCCCAGCGACAGCCCCGGCCGGCGCCGGCTGGCCTCAGCTCGACGGCCGGCCGTGTGCGGGCCGGCGCAGGCCGGCTTTGGGCGCCGCTTCAGCCGCGCGGCCGCCGGTCGTTTACCTACCGGGGAGCCGGCCATTAGCGAGCGACCCGGCGCGGGCGCCGCGCGGCCGCCGCATACCGCGGGGCTTCTCACGCTGAGCGCCGCCGGC